CGACTCTTTCGCGTCTCTTTCCGGCGGCGAAATCGTACATTTCATCCCTCGGAAGTGTTTTCTTGTTTCTTCGAAAGAAATAGATCGATCGATCGTCCTACTTGTTGAACGAGCCGTTCAAATTAAATTCATCGGACGCAATCTTTCTGTGTACGATGAAAATCGTTTTAAGTTCCATTTGTTATCGGAAGATATACTGCAGCCAATAAACTCGCCGTAAGTCGGCGTAATGGAAGCGTGAATTTTTACGAAATTTTGAAGATACAATATCCGAATGCAACATACCGCGTACTTATACTTTACAAATCTCTTACTCCTCTTCTTTTTTTCTTCCCGCGACTTGGAGAACCGCGCGAACACCAGTAAATCGATTAAGACCACGACGAAATCGCATTACTTCGATGCTTGGTAGTTGATTAATTAATCGATTAATTAAGTTTGTCAAATTCGTAACTATGCACTTACACTTTACGCTATAACAATAATAGCAAAATTGCGTGAATTTTTAAATCTTTTTTTTTTCGTTTTAAATTCCGTATCCTCTTTCGGTTACTTCGTAATTGTAAATTTACAGCTATTACAAGTATTATTGTTTATATTTGTGTAAGATAACATTAATAGCAGACTCTGTCCCTCGTGCCCGTCACCTACTTAAATACAAAGTTAAAAATGCACGAGGCTTTTAAATCTTTCTTCAAATCCGCGTATGTGTTTCTCCGCTGTGTTCTTCCGCACGTGCACATTTGCGTTACGCGTGTGCAGAGCACGGTGGATTTGCGTCTGGCACTTGCCTGTACTGTTGTTCCTCATGGATTTTCCGGAGACCCGAATTAAAAGAACGCTCGTCAAAAGCTCGTCGGCGACGAAGTATCGCAGGTGTACACGTCGTCAATGAAACCTCCGCGTATCGCGATGCGAGGGTAATAAATTATCTCGAGTACGTTCTAAATCAATGAAACGGATTATACGGTATTGGCAACGCTCTCTAATCCTTAACAGCACATGTAGATTCTGAAGATGGTTCTCTACTTTTTACAAAAGTAGAGAATATTATGTTCTCAGTAAATTAGGTATATTCTCAATACAATCATGATATTATGTGCTGTTAGTGACAACTCTTTCTCCTGTCATTTCTTTTCACTTTTATTAGCGCTTTACATGAGGCGTTCTTTTAACTTCAGATATCCTAGAATTTGGAAGGCCGCTGATGTATCGTTTCGAAAAAATTTTCTTCAAACCAATCTCTAAGCTAAGGACTGTAGTCTACCTAATAGAACCGATCGAATAAGAGTCATGTCCACATTAAACGTTCTTGCATTCATCGAGAAAAATGAAGGAGTCTCCTGTGCCGCTGTCGCGTGTTCCGCGTTTGCCAATTGGTCTTGCCGGGATTACGCGAAGCAGAGCGATACGTCGTGTGACGCTGCCGTACCCTTGAAATTAGAAACATTGGTCGTGCGAAGTAACGCGCAGAGTATGCAAGAAGTTCTCTCAGACGTCTCGTCTTATTACGTTCTAATTAACTAGACCATAGTCTGGGGGAAAAAAAAAGATCTTATATCGTCAACCCCATCGGGATGTTAACTAAGCTAGCGTTGGTCGTAAAATCGTTGATAGTTTTAGCGTAATCTAGGTACACACCTCGCGCCGACATACGCCGTAATCGATAGGACTCGTTTAGGATAGCTGAACGATAAAACATCAAAGTTTGGGAAAGACTTGGAAGTGAACGTAATTCTACTGCGAATCTCAACGAAGCGTATGTCTCACTCTATATCGTACAATTTCCCTCGTACGTAAGAAGTGTCACGTATGCTTCGATCTATTTCGACATCGTTCCACGCCACCATTCGATTTTTCTCCACGAGTGTGTGCCGTACGGGAAATGTCGACATGATTAAAGAAAAAATGCAGCTTTTACTCTTCTAAGAATTATTCTGTAGATGGCAAACGGTAAATGGGCAATCCTGATGGAAAACTCGATAATTATAAATTCCGGGTGTATCATCGATTAAATGGTGCGCTGAAGATTGTCAAATTAGATGCGAAGCAAAGCGTCCCAAGACTTAGACAGAAATGCTTTATATATTACAATATTATATATGTATATATATACAATTAATAAAAATTCTTTCGTGACGAAACACGCGCCACGCTTTCACAATTTACAATTATTATCAATAGAAACTTCATATTCAGTTTTTTTTTGTTATGGCCATTTATATTATAATAATGCGTGAAATTATATTCTGGCTTCATCCTTATAGTACGACGTGTTTTAATCAAGACTAATCTCTTCACAAAAATAGGGAAGTTGCATGTAGATGCACTATCCTATGAGTATAGTGAACTATTCGCCATGTTACTTTGCATTATTATTAATTATTCGTCGGCGTTGAAGAGTGATATATTACAACAACGAAATTCTTTTACTCAAAACAAAATCAGTTAACGTTTAAATATATGTTTTATTATCATTTTCATACTTTTTTTTTATCAAAATAATACAAGTAATGGCAATTTAAATGTACGGTCAGGAAATTATGGCACTGCGGTATAATTACAGTGACGTTATTTGGATATCTGTATCTTTTTTTTTTCTTCCTTTCGAACGTTGCATTCACAATACATCATTTCATTCTGCATTTTAGCTAAATCGGTGTGAACACATTCCATTCAATGTTTGCTGTTTCGCGAAACGTTTAGATGGATAGCCGTCGTATAGGAAACATTCTTAGCAGCGAAATCATATTATTTTAGACGTCAAACTTTCGGCAAGCACATCTCGAGAGAAATAACTTTGTAGATTATCAAGATATACTAGATCAATCACGTGATTGTGAAATATTACAAATGAAATCGTGTGTTGTTTCTATCCTTAAATTAAGTTATATATTTTGCATCCTGACGATAAGTTTTACGTCGCCTACTTAATAATTTGAGATCGAAAGCAAACGAGAAATCGTCTTTTTTTCCCAGCTAATTCTATAGCCTCGATATTATAAGCTCAATTATTTTTTTTTTTTCATAGAACGTTACAATAAATACAAAATATTATATGAAAGTGTATATATAATCCTTGTATTATCTTAAGACGCTATGACGTTCACCTGAGAATTAAAAAAATTGTATATCCGATTATTCAAAATTTTATTTACGTTACGTTGAAGACTCTAGCAAAATTCGATAATGAACTAGATAATGAACTACGGAGTTTAAGAACAAATGGGTAACGACAATCGTTTCAAACAGTCAAATTACCTGTCGTCTCGAAAAGGCTCGTGAACGTTATACTGTTATTTAGCTCAAACGAGTTGAAATGATGCGTCAAATAGGATGCGAGTAAAATAAACGTTACATCAACTATCGATTAATACAAGATGCATGGCTATTACGCGTTCACTTAGTTTATCTTCGTTAAGTTTGTCTTCTTTTATTTACTCTCCTTATCTCATAAAAATCTTGTACGACCTACGCGATCGCGTTACTTTTTTTTTGTTACTATCTATAATATATTACAGATTTAATTCGCCGTAATTAATGGTAATGAACGGGAATAAGTTCTAGCAGTTCTTATCTTCATTTTTTTTTTTTCGTAGAGTAAGATATTTGTAAGTGAAATGGTGTAACTGATAAACGGTCGACAAGTACGGCTGTTTCGTCATAATCACGTTTGTTTTCATAAAGGAAAATGTTTTTCCAAGTTTTACGTTAAGTTTAAACAAGCATCTAACACGTATACGCGTACATTATTCAGAAAATGTGAAACTACGGATAAGATCGCGCGCCGCAGCCTTTCGTTAATCTGAAATGGTCGTATGTACAGCATTATAAATTACATTTGGTCACGATGAACATCAGTTATCTTCGAATTGTTGACGTGTGATTGAAAAGTATTTGGCTTTTGGAAAATCCTGATTATGTACCGTAATGAAAACGCGTCGCATGAATGTTATGACTTAAATAACAAGACATTCCCACGAAAGAACTGCCGTACCGGTCGGCGTTTTTCCTGTGTACGTACCATCCGATCGGATAAAGAAACGTCTTCTACGTATGTCTACTCGCACACGTGCAATCCAGTATACGTCTTAAAAATATCCGAGTAGATTCTACTTCTCGATAAAAGGCAAGAGAATTGTTCCGCTCGTGTTCATCCTATAGTATGATAACGCATCTACCGGGAATACGTACTTGTCTCGTGTTTCGATGGATTGACTCTTCGTAGATAGACTATAAACGATCAAATTCGGGGGGCGGGGGAACGAATTCGCGTAAAATTTTTTTCCTCCGCGCGTACACCTGTCTTTCTGTCCGCAATCATGTCGGCGCCCGTTTGTGTATTTCAGGAGACCTACGGCAACCTACTGAACTCTAGAAATCTATGACCATCTGCGGCCATGGCCATCTCGATAATCTCGATCTGCACTTAAATAATAAATAGATGGAAAGTCGAAATTTTGGGAGATATATTTATATTATATATATATTTATATCACGTACTCGCAAACTCGCTTGATAATAATCGTGACGTATCTTACAAGTATGTATTATACACATTATATATCTCTGTAAGATCGGAACGCCTCGTGTATCGTATACCTAAAGTCGTAGTTTGCTTTCTTTTCATACTTTATATTATATACAAATTGTAAAATGTCTTCTTAATGAAAAAGTCGTGTCGGTCTGTGTATATCTCTTTCTTTGGTGTGTATTTATATTTTTCTCTCTCTCCCACGAAAACGTGAATGTAAGGTGTATACATGTGACATTCATATTTTCTTCTTTTCACGCGTTCTTACATCCTTGCACACAGACGACACTTCCATGCACACTCGCTCGCACTCACTCGCGATTTCGCTCACCGACATTCGCACCCCTTCGCATTCGATCCCTTTCGTCCTTCCCACGCGAACATTTTTCACGTGTCTTCACGAATTCCTCGGTTGCAAGATACATAATTATCCCTGCACAGCCTTTTGTACATGCATGTCTTTTCAAGGTCAGTTCACCGCGTAATCGCACCTGCGACGTGTGATTCCACATTTCTCGGTCTATTATATATTTTAAAGAGGCGGACTAGTATGAGAATATTAGAAAGCGAGCGCAAAGATTATACTGCTCATTCCAAGCCGTAGTAGATGTCTGAAATGTGACTCTAGTATATATATAGTTATATATGTACTTGAGATTCGTAGAATATGCGATTAAATTTTTATCGAGAAAAGATTAATCTCGAATTGGCGAATAAAATTGTAAATGTAAAAGGAGATGCGAGAACCTGTACTAATTTTTAGGATAGACACGTTATTCCAGTAAATATCCTTACACATGTAATATTCTTTCTCGAGGAAAATATAATTTCGGCTACGAAGGATCAAAGGTAACTCATTGTTAGTTACGGACTAAAAGTAAATCTACATCGCTGCAGAGCTATCACACATATAGAATCTCATCGCACGTCGCACTTAGTGATGCCGGCGAATGACACAGCCATTTATCTAGAGCGCCAGAACGGAAAGCTTCGTCTCGGCATCTTGAGCGCCAATTCTCGCTTTCTCACTCGTCGAAATTCTCACGCCTTACTCAATGGTGGCACAGACACATCAGAAATTCATTCATCGCACATCGAGTATTTTAATACTCTCGATTACACGAATGTGAATTAAACTCGGACGATAGCGGCGTGTCGCGAATGGAAGAATTATACATACCGCGCGGGTTCGCGCGTCGCGAAACGACAAAACGTTTTCGTTGAGGAGAAGCATCCGGCGCCGTCGTTATCCCGGTGTCACAATCCGGATTAAACAGTTCCAGCGATCCAATATCTAATCGATCCCAATCTCTCGACTATCTATACGAAATCTTACTCGCGCTCGACGAGAGTTGAACGCAAAAAAGAGAGAAAGAGAGAGAGAGAAAGAGAGAGAAAAGGAGAAAGAGAGAGAGAGAAAGAGAGAGAGAAAGAGCGAGAAAAAGAGAACTCGTGGCGGTGATGATAGCGTCTCGACGACGATTGAAATTCGTTGAAGTCGCCGGCTGCCGGGCAGAGGCACACGCTCCCCTCAGACGGACACCCGTCGCGGCTGCTCGTGGTAGTAATGCTGCTGCTCGTCGAGAAGTGTCACACTTCTCGCAGCGGAGCAACGTCAAATGCTGGCGCGATGCTGATACAGCGGGAACGACAGCAACGGGGTGAGCGGCAGCGGCCGCGAATCGCCACCCCGCACACTCGACGACGCCGACAGCTGTTGCATCGGCAGCAAGTGCGAGATCTTGCCCGGCGAGCGGCGCACCGTGAAACGCGGTCTCCGCCGTTTCCTCTGGAAGCCGCTGCAGCGGCAACTGCACACCGACGCCTCGTCGTCGAACGACATCGCGTTGCCGTGATTGCCGATCTGGCCGGACAGTATCGAGCCGTTCGCTGTTATCACGTCGCCCTCGAGACGCACCGCGCCCTGGGCCGCCTAAAGAAGCAGATGCTCGATTAATGTTCTCGTGAACAGCGCTCGTGGACGTTCATTGCAATGGAAATAGAATGTCCATTCAACAATGCTATTTTAATCTGTAGACTACTCCATTCAAAAATGCTATTTTAATCAGTGGACTACTCGTTTGACTCAGCAAGATGAAATGTACGAAGAGAGTACGAAGGTAGCACAAACCATAAGAATTTCATAAAGAAAGAAATGACAATTAGATAGTTGATACTAAATAATCGGCAAAATAATGAATGAATAAATGTATTTTAAAGATAAGGATAACTCATACCTGTAACGCTTCGGCTTCGTCTCGTCTTTCATCCTCCGTGTTCATAGTCACAAATCTCAAAACCAGCAAATTAAGCGAGGCCGCCACAATCGCCAAGCCGAAGAGAATAAATATTAGGGCAAACATCACGTATTCTGGCTTATTGTTGAGCGCGTTGTCCTTCTGCAGCGCGACCATGTCGCCGAAACCGATTGTCGTCAAGGTGATGAAGCAATAGTAAATGGAATCGAAGTAGGACCACCCCTCGTACCTGGAGAACGCGGCGGCTCCGCCGGCGATAGTCAGGCACGACAACGTCGTTACCACGCAGATGAGATTGATCTCCGAGGCCTGCAATACGTCGAGTGTTAATTTATAAGTCGAAATTGTATTACATATTTATTATACAGGTATATGTCGTAAGAAACGTCTAAAGGACAAGAACGAGTAATTTAATCTTCGATATTCGAGAAAAGAAAGTATTCCGGTACTCTCGAGGGAAATCTATCAGATTATATTATTCAATTTGAAATAGAGGAAATATACGTAGGTCTGTTACAGATTAACGTTATAATAGTTTTTATTGAAAAAGAATGAAAAAAGTGAGTTGAAATAAAATCAACATTAGTTATTAGATAATTCACGTTATAAGTTTGCCTTAATTTTATACAACTTTTACAATGAACAAAGTGAGTATTAAAATTAATTCTTATATCTATAACTTTTTAAAATTCAGTATAATCTACGTTTATTTCGCACAAGATTCTGCTTAAAATTCGAGTTTGATTCAACCGCTTGCACCTGGATTATTGCAGTTCCACTATTTGTCGCTATTTTGAACAGAAACACAATTTCATACACGTTTAATTAACTTTTATAATCTGCTGTGAGGAAATTTCTCGCCGATTTTGGTGCGGCTTATATGTATATTGTCTCGAGAATAGGACGCGACTGAATATCCCATTTGAATCGTACACGGAACATCCGACGACGAAGCACGTGGCTAAGCTTACCTGGACGTCCCTACAGTTTAGAAGCGTCTTTACGCCCCGTATTACGACAGACGAGAACTTATTCAAACGTTCTCCTATACTCTGGAACATTACGAGTCCTAATGGGATACCGATGATCGCGTAGCACATCGTGAACAATTTGCCGTATATGGTGTTCGGCGTCGAGTGTCCGTAACCTGAAATATAAATAAAACGTAGAACAAACTTTAAAGGTTCTTCAGCTTTTCCGCACAATCGACGGAAAATGACACCCGGATCGTAAATGTAATCGCGACGTTTCGTGCGAAACCGCAAAACTTCACACAATGTGAGCCCGCGTATCCTATCACGATGAAAACGGCTAAATCGATTAAAACCCATTGACTGACGAATATATCTGACGATCCATTCGTGCGTTGCTTCAACAATCACTTTCGGCTTCAAAATCACCGATCAATTACCGAAAAGCTCGTAGAATCAAAAAATTACCTTTTTTTTTTATTAAAAAATAAACTTGATATACGCTCAAAATAATGTAGAAAAATTTCGAATGTAAAATAATTTTTTGTTCTTCCTATATACAAAAAAAAATTGGCACTCTTTTTAACACTCACAAAGAGGAAAGAGATCCGAATTGCGAATCAAACTTGCATTTTCCAAACTGTCGCATTTGGGTGTCTGCCAAACGGGTTATCGAGCAGGTTTTCGATGCAAATGAATAGTATAACGCAACGGTAGTTACGCGTAATAAACTCGATTTGAACAGCCGACGGTATTCGGGGCCACGGGGGGGTAACTTTGCAACATATCTACCTATCGTGGTGAGGACCGTTGTGGCGTAATAAAACGCGCCGGCGAACTTCCACTGTTGGCCAGCTTTGTGAGGTTCCGTCTTCAGCACCACTGTTTCCATGATCTTGAAGTCGTCCTCGCTTATATTGTATTTTTTTATGACCATTTTCTCAACGTCTGCGAACAAAACGAGCGCGATAATTAGATTGACGCGTATCTCACGATACAGTACGAATGATGCGCAAACTATTATTTATTTTTTATTGTTGAGAGAGAGAGAGAGAGAGAGAGAGAGAGAGAGAGAGAGAAAGAGAGAAAGAGAAATGAATATATCACGGAGCTAAATAAAATGACTAATGACCTCTGAACTTTTCAGAGTGTGCTTTGAAAGCGTCTGTCGGAACAGATGCCTCGCACATCTGGGTAACGATAACTCGATGAAAATTACGTGTCAGGTACGCGCAGAATTGTTCTTCCCACGAATAAAAGCTGCGGCTCGTCTTTGTAAAGAAAAAAAAAAAGAAACAGGGCAATACGCGAATCGCTACTTCATTCTACTGATACCAGGTTTTATATAAGGCTCGCGGGAAACGGTATTTATCAAGCGTTTTCGAGCCATCAGCGAGACAATAGTCGCGACGATGTAAGATCGTTCGTTCCCCTTTGACGAAAGTGCAACGACATTCTTCTATTGGGGTTGCCTCTCTGCATAACGTACACCCTGTCTCGCACAAGTACCGCCGTCGCCGCACACACGATTGCACTCTCACTTAATGCCTCTCATTCGTACATAGCGTTCGTTGTTCGCTATACGGCTAAGTAATCTACGCGAATGGCAGTAAAGGGGCTTGAGGAAACCCCAGACAACACAAATGCCTAGAAACGTCGTAGGAACGTTTATATAAGAGACACTTCACGCCTCCGATGATCTTTCGAAGTTCTCAAACGTCACTTGGACTTTTCACTTAAGGCTTTATCCATTCAATAAAAGTTCTGTTAAAGTCAGATTAAGAGAGAAAGGAGCAATTGTTATATATATATATATATATATATATATATATATATGTATATCATTGCATAAAAAACCGAAGTGTGATAGAATTGTGTAAAATAAAACACATAAAACTGAGAAACTTTACAACGTATCTTTTCTCTTTTGTTCTCTTTTCATTTTTGAAAAAATTAGAGTTTTAAATTAATTCCATAGCACGTCATATTCTTATTTATCATATTTTTCCAAACGTGATTAAAAGTTGATAAAATTAATTACTCGAGTCAGTTAAAAACTGTGAAAATCCAGTCATTTTAACATTCCGCATGTATCTCGAAATATTTGCAAAGTAAGAGCGGCTTGATTACTTACCATCTAACGCTTCTTTGCGTAATTTCTCCGTCTCGGACTCGAGCACGTCGAAGATTGCAGCACCGACGAGGAGATAGGTAAGCGTGAAGACGATTAATGATAAAGTCCGGACGTTTTGCTTCTTCATTCTCTAGTGAGCCACATGCTCACTAGCAGGGCCCCGGCCCTAATTACTTGCATCGCTCAGTGAGATACGATTTGGGTTGCCGGGCCCATGACGACCCCCTTCTCTCTTCTCCTTCCAAAGTGATACTTGACGGGGGCCCCTCTCTTCCTTACCGAACGCTACAGACTTGGCACGCGGTCCCTTGTCTTCAGGATATCTGCTTCCTTGCCGTAGCAATCGTGCAGCCGTTTTCGTTCATCTGAAACTGTCGCGTCTCCTTGTCCTATCAAAGCTAAAACAGGCATCGTGCAAAAAAAAACGTTATCGCTCTGATATACAACGATTTATTAATAAAAGTCAGATCGACAATAAATTCCTGATAAAATAAGAAATGAGAAACCGAGATGTGCGCGGTAATTGGAGCACCGAATCGATTTCATGGCAGCCAAAAGCGAGCCAATGATACGGACGAAATTTACGAATCTGCTCCAGCAATGGTTCGCGTTATTTTTAAAGATGTGGGTCACTTAAGAATGAGCCGCGAAGATTGAAATCGATTTCATTGAACACTTTTTCCCTCACCCCGAGTTTGTTCTTTTGGAATCGCTTTCCCAGCTTGAAATTCAGATGCCCGACGAAAAGGTATAATCGTTCTAAGCGGTCAAGCGAGAGAGATGACCGGTTTTAAGACTTCCCCTTTTCCTCATTGACGTAGTGAGACGAATCAATTTCCCCGATGGGGATCGGACCGAGCAAAAAATATGCTGATTTAGGGGGAAAAAATTTAGCTCACCTGCAACCTGTTCCGGGTTCTCCTTTAGGTACGACGAAGAGTTGAGCAGAATGATATGGCAGTGCTTTCGCTGCTCCCACTGCCACGTTCCCTCCATTCCTCAGCTTAGCAACACACGCTTTCAGAGCTGACTAAACAAAAAAAGATGAAATTCTGATGAATGACGAGGCACATTTCGCCGGAAAATTGATTTCTGATAATACATTCGAGGAACATTGCCGGAATTTATTTCGCCAATATTTGCGATATTATTTTTCACTTGAGATTCTATTCTAATATTAAATTTCTTTTTCGTCGAAAAAAAAGCATTGGAATTAAACGCAAAAATTTAGAGCATGACAAAAATATGGAAAGCATATATATGACATACATATAAAATATTTAATATAATTAGGAAGATTAGAAAAATATAAAAATGTCCAAAAAAAGCAAAATGAAAATTATCGTAAGTACCAAAACTACATGTCGGTGGTCGATGAGAAAATGATTGGACAAACGATTAGATTTGTTTTGGATGTGGATTAAAGTGGATTTGGGATGTAAGAGTTTCAGACTGGCTTTTATCGGGATTAATTAACCGATCCAATTGAACTCTTTGTTATCCTTTAACTTGCTAATTGCTTTCGGCTAAGCGTTATTTGAAGAAACAAATGTGTAAAATCTGTGTTAAGATTAAGAAATTTTAATAAGAATAGTACCCTTATGGTGTAAAATAATCGCTGATGATATACATTATTATTGCAGGATATTCAGCAAGTCTCTGATTCACGTATATTTACATTGAATATATTCTCCTTATTAAATACATATGATTCTACGATTAGATAGCCATACAGTAGAACAATTTACACTACGAACACGAGCGATGTTTCCCATCAAAGATTACAACCTGCGGTAATTTTGGTGAGTTCAGTTGCGCGTTTATTCATGAAACTGGAAACATGGATCAGCGAAATATATTCACCTGCATTCGTAACATTCAAAATTCAACTCATTGGATTTGTGTCAATTTTAGTTGTTGATTTCCACTAATATCCTCCATTTGATACTATTCTGAATCACGATAAACCTCCTTTCACATACATGTCCCGTGTTTTATAAAAGTTCGTCTTATGCATATAATTTTCAAAAATAAAAAGAAAAAATGAGTTATTTTGTACATTAAATATATAAAATATTCCAAATTCTCACTGCGTTTTTAGGGCAAGCTTTCACACATACACGTCTACAATAAATATTGAATCCATCACAATACAAAAATTTGATCAAAAATAAAATTTAAATAATAAAGTTATTTAGTTAATCGGAAGAATAATTAATGAATCAATTCTCTCAGATTTATAACGTGACGTAACAGAGGTTTAATAAAAATTGGGTAAAAATAAAGAGACACAAAAAAAGAAAAAATGAAGGAAAAATTTCGCAAGCGAGTAAAGAACCTAATAAAAAAATTTGAGATAACTCATTATTCATCCAATTCGAGATCAGTTCTAATAATTCCATAAGCAACGAGAGTCTAACAACGTCAAATCAAATCCTCTCAAATCCCCCTCTTCTCTCCTTCTCTTTCTCTCCTTCTCGTAGTTTAAATTAATGTTTGTGCGGTAGTCGGTTAGAGATTGGCGGACTGTATTTTATTGAATTTATGACAAATTGCTTCCGAAATTCCCATCCGTTATGCGAACAACATTGTGAAGCGAGGAGGGAGAAAAGGGGAGAGAAGGAGAAAACCGTCTTCGCACACTTAACCCGTGAAAGAAGAGATCGCAGAAATCCCTTCGTGAATCAAGGTAACGACCGCGATTAGAATCGCGGTGATTTCTTTCACAAGGGGGAGAATCTGGTAAATACATTTAAACCTGATACACGCGACATTTAGCGCCGATAATAATCGATGAATGTACAAATCTGACACTTCAAAGAGAATGTTCTAATCCGCGCGTTCGCATCTAATCGAATTTTTCCGTTCTAGTTGATGTCAAATAGAAAACAGGCTAGATCAAGCCCGTTAGATTAATTGCGTAAGTCATTTCTTGCGAGGAGAAAAAAGATAAAGATTAAATATATTAATTCATTATTATTTCGATTATATCAATTTAATCGCTTCTAACACGATATTCAGTGTTACATTCAAAAAATTAGGTACTGTGCAGGCATATACGTAGTACCTTGTAGTATTTTGTCATCCTTTCTCATGTGTATTATAGAGAATAAAAAGAATAAAAAAAACAAAGCTTCCTCTATGAAGAAGCAAAATATATATATTTGTCATAAATTTGAAATTGCTTTCATATTTTTGCCCTAAGCACGAAATTTTAGTACATCGTAATTCTTAGTCAGAAGCGGATAAATTCCTTGGAGGGTGGAACGTCCCTTTCAGAGACGCGGACCGTCCTGACGGATGTTTTAAAGGGTGCGCAAGGATGATTGATGATCTCATGTCTGCGCGATTTTTGTTACTTATCAATGTAAGGAAAACAAGGACACGCATTTCTCGCGCCGGGAGAATATATATCCCATATCCATAGCCCAGCCGAGAAGGTCAAGGACCCGTCAATTTAGGGGAAGACACGTCGCAATTCTGCGCTATCCAGGCATTATCTCGCGATAGGATCTTCATTGTTATACCCTTGGATAGGTCACGAGTTTAATAACACACAAGTTAGATACAGTACCGTTCGCGATGCTCCCTAATATCGATTATTGTGCGCGCGATTCTGTAAAGGGTTGTTGCGATAACGGCTTATTTGCTCCACTGAATCAACGGGAACAATAAGCCATAGTAGAGACAAGTAAAGGACGATATATCCGATCGCCCACGCGGCTCTTCCCCGAAGACAAAGAATTTTCCTAGAAGTCTACTGAGCGACAAATCGGTTTCTCATCACCGTCAACGATTTCGAATTTGCTTAATATGAGAAATTCTAGAAATCTTGTTACGCAACGACAAAGAGACCGACCGATCTGTTTTAGATACACTCGACACTCGGACCTTGAAATTGAGTTTTAATACTGAATAATATACGACTTTTTACACTATATTATACTCGCTGTTAAATTATTTCCAACATAAAAATGATATAAAATAATATCAAAGCTAATACAATTTAAAATTGAATTAAAACACAAATTGAAATTAGAATTCTGATAAAAACCAAACTAAATGTTTCGCCTCTGCACCTGCTACGTCTATTAAATCCTGTGAAATTCTGTTTGAAAGAACATGGGAATGTGTTATGAGCTTTTTGCGCTGATAAAGTTTTTGCAACTTGCAACAAACTCCGTGCAATCCATATACTTCTAAGGCAAAAAGTTCGATGGATATCTGTGAATATCTTGTTTGAACATCAATTAAGTACCATTCTAATTGATTAGAAAATTATCACATGTAGTAATAATCAAAATATCATTTACAGAGATAATAACATAGAAAAAATATTACAGACAATCAAGAGATAAAAATATATATCAATAAAATATATAAATAATCTTATACAAAAAATATATACAGATTAACGGTTTTATAAATTTGCTAAAAATGTTAAAAAAAATGTAAGTCAAAAGACCATCATGATCTTAAGTTAACTTTGTCCCCGCTTATAAATGTCCTCACGGAAAAATAATATGTCGCTATGAATAACGTACATCCCCTCTGAACTTCGCGTCCCCTCATTTATTCTCGCGAGTAAGCTCTAGCTAGGAAATTAGGTATCAGTAAACGGACGAATCGACAGCGTGCGTCCTGTAAATAATCGCGAACCCAATCGAAATATATATATCGGCGGATTACAAGGGTCGGTCGTATTTTACTTACGTTATACATTACGCGCAAAGTTACGGCGAGAGAAATCATCTCGCTGCCGCGAGCGCCGTGGGAATCCGACGACTTCGGACAAATGATCGCGTCATGTTTATCCTCATACGAAATCGCGAAGCTCGCGTGCGGTTACCTCTCCCACGGGTATTGCGTCATACGACGTTACGGTTGTCTCTGAAGGGGTGTTTTCGCGACCGGTCGTCTCGCAAATCAAATTTTCATATCAGGTACAAAACGTATTTACGGAATGCTTTGGACCTTGTACAACGATATTTTCGTCACGCATGATAAGATTGGAATTTATGATGATCAATGTATTTGGTACAACACATACAGCTTCCATTTGTTCGAGAAAGGATTTTTAATCTTGAGGTACTAAAAACAGTGTTCTCGTTCTTTCCAATAATTCTCGGTTCGCTCTTTATATGGATCATTCTCCGTGACCTATCAATATATAAAACGAGAAAGCTTTTGATAATGAGAAACGTAAAATTACAACGTAAATTACAAAAGCCAAAGTAATCAACCTGATATATATAGCATAACGTGTTACGTATGTACATGAAATATGCGATAGAATTAGAGTGCGCGCAATCCTTGCTCGTGCAATTGCAATTCCTTGAAATTCCAAGAAATTGTGGCAGGACTGCCCGGTGTAATATCGAAATTGCACGTGCAATGGGGTTGTAGCAATCGATTGCACGGAAATAGAAGGCCGCTCTAATTCGTACGATTCTCGCGAGCGCAACATCCGGTTCTTCCGATAACTTTTAGTCCTCACAGATGTTACTAATAGTAGACTCTGTACCTTGGTGTTCAATATTGGGATACATCGATTAGCGAAACCCACGCGGTATATGCATAATTAATCGAATTATCAATCAAAGTCTCCATTATCGTCGAAATGTATTAACGGTATGGATATTAAAGCTGAATTAAAATTATTGCATTTTCCTGTGAGAGCAAACCAGAACAAATCTCGTGTGTGTATCTCGTAATGCAATAATTTTCAAGTGTCATTAAATTGTTAATTAATTATTTTAAAAATTCATTACAGCTACAAAGGTATAAAAAGTACAAAAGTACTGTTACACGGCTCGCTATAGTTAGCGTATCAAATGATCGGCGACGAATATGAATATAATCGTAGAATATCATGTTGTTCAGACGCAAATGAGTGGAATATGTTTTAAATCTCTTTTATATTTCATAAAAAAATAAAAAAGTTTGCAACATATGTACATATTACATTTGCAAATGATACTAATACGATATACGGTACTATAATAATGCAGGGAATACATGAAATATTAT